TACCTGATCCAGTGGACAATCACAAACATTTCCACCTATTTTATTTATATTATTATATTTTATATTATATTATATTATTATTATTATTATTATTATTATTATTATTATTATTTATTATTATTATTATTATTATTATTATTATTATTATTATTATATTATTATTATTATTATTATTATTATTATTATTATTATTATTATTATTTATTATTATTATCAATTATATTCACTTTAGTAAATATACAATTAAATTTCATTGCATGCTCCTCTGCATGATAATTTTGTACGTCTACTCAAGGTTTATTCGTCTTTCCCCTGTGTCTTTATTTCGCCAATCCCAACTCACTGATGAGCTCCGGGGATTGACGAAATAATAAGGTTCGTCTGAGGAGGAGCAAACGACATCTTAGTTATTTTGTTTCTGATGGTTTTTTCTTTCTAATCCTAATTGAGTCATGTAGCCGTTCTGCAGAGAGAGCGTTTAGAGGGGTAGAAGAGAGCAGCCATAGATGAGAGACGCATGATGCGTAAATAAAGGGCGTAGCGTGTCCCATTTCTGTCGGGCTCGAGCCGTTTCTCGGTCTTTTCTTCATCTCCACTTCATTTACAATGTGCTGCCGCCTTCAGCGGTTGGCGGAAATTGAGTCTATCGGCGGTGATCTATATTGTTTGTTGTGTTATTACATTGGAGGGTTTTAGAGGTTATCCGCTTTATTTTCCTTGCAAAGGCTATCCAAACCACTAGATTGGTATGAGGACGGAATCATTCTCATGAATCGATCCAAAGACCGCCTGTGCGTCGCTTTTTGACCACAATAAACGAGGAGTGTCTCTCAGTAAAACCGCTGTACCATTCCCCTTCTGAGGTTACGCTGCACATGAGCTTTACGGCACACTTGCAGAAGATGAGTTGGAGCGTTCGAGGATCACGATGCCCTCAACTGTCATTTCATTTTTTTTCTGCGACCATCAAATTGTCAATCGGTCGTAAGTAGCCCAAAATAGTTGCGGTCATCTCATGGTTGTTAGTGTACGAAGAAGATGTCATTATCTATCGTACTGGCGTTTTTCGGCTGTGGAACCACATTCAATGTTGTTTTCTGAAGCATTGGAACACTGCATTGCCACAAAACTCGTTTATGTACACTCCCGACGGGTAGATGGGGACGAAATTCCGAAAGACGAAGTGTTCGCATCGATCAGACGGTCTTGAAACCCACAGCGCTTTAGCTGTACATGTGTTTGAAAAAGATATGTGGGCCGGTAGATGGTCTCCTCATACTGTTCAGCACATCTACGAACACCCTCGTCTTAGCTTTTTAGGCCACACCCCTGTTTTGGCTGATAAACGAGCTCGTTCGAGTTTTTTAAACAATATTCAATGCGCGAAATTATCCAGGCGATCTCTAGTAGAATTGCAACCGAAAGGAAGTGTGATGGCGACAAAAGAGCAAATTTATTACTTTTTGCTGCAATATTTTGAAAGCAATTCTGCTCCGACTGTTCCAATTGAAGCACATCTCTTGCAACCACATAGCTTTGTGTTTAATTTCACTACCCTTTTTTATTTATTTTTGATGAAAGAAAAGAAAAATAAAACAAGGAGACAAGGAGTGAAGCTAACTGAAACTTTTGTAAGAAGAAAAAACATTTGCTGAACTAAAGCGTTTCTGATTATTCTGTGCACCACGTGATTTGTTATGTCTAGATGTGTCCCTTGTGACAGAATAAATACTATAAGAGCTCAGGAAAATCTGGCGCTCCCGTGAAAAGGTGATAATATCCTACTATATATAATCGGCTAAGCGGTTGTGTGTGTGTCTGACCGGAAATTCATAACTTCACCTCCCTTTGGACCAAGAGCGCTCAAACTTCTAGGATATATAGGGGGCCGGAGGTGAACACTGATGACGGGTGGCGGGAAGTGATAACTACTGATAGGAAGCTGATAACGGACGTCGAAATGTTGATGTCACCAATTTCGTTACACCGTTCGCGTTGATGGTGGAGAGTTTGCACTCATGTATGATATGTGGGGTGAGGCGGGGACCAAGAAGTTGAGTGAACGAATGTGGTAGCAACTGATAAGAACTGATAAGGGGCGTAAAAGTGTGGATACCACCAGTTTCGTTGCGGCCCTCGCGGTGACATTGAAACCTTGGCTTTCACATGTGGTATAAGGAATGGGACGGGAACAAGGTGGCGAGGATTGAATGTGGGTGACAGAAAGTGGTATGAGCGGCAACTGTACTGATAAAAGTAGCGAAATTGAGCGTGCACTCAGTTAAACTAAACCAGGCCCCTAGCAAGTGAATATGTTCCATTCCTATCCTTTCATCCAAAGAAGCAAAGAAAGTTGAGCTGCTCAACTATCTGGACCTGGACTAATAGCGAATAGCGATGCTGATTGATTGCTTATATTTCACTTACACACTGATTATTCAATTGTGGGAAGTTCTATAAACCGCTAAATCGCCCGAGCTCGATATCAATGCTAAATGTTTTTCGTCAATGATAAATGTTATTCGAAGTCATGATAAGCTCAACATTCCATTCGCTGCTACTGCACGCAACCAACCCCCACGTTACGCGACAACCTCCAGAGTGGACGACCTTTGAACTTCATGGGACACATCTTCCAAAACATTTTACTGTTAGTTTCTCTGTTACGTGACCTAACATTCTGGAAGTTGTCCAGTTTCACTGAAGCCCGCCATTTGATGCGCGCGGTTGCGTGCGGAGCTAAACTGGTTGAGAAAATATAAGCATAATTAACATGCCATCATCTTGAGCTCTTTTTTGTCCCTGGTAATTTCGTTTTTCCTCGGCGTCCATTGCTTCTCATCTTGCTGTCTAACGCATATTTTCCTCCACGCTGTAGGGTAAAGATGGCTGCATTTTTGGGATCTCAACCTTTTCTTTTTTCCTTTTCTCCAGACACAGCCAAGAGTCATTTCGCATGAAATCTAAGTATATTTCAGGCAGACCGTCATCAGAATAAATTGACACGGATTTCTCTGATTAGTCCTCTTCATTCCTAGTTCACAACAGGATGCCCTTCTAGGGCTGTTCGCATTGGCGGATCGAGGGCTGAATTGTTACTGGTAGAGAATATCTCACATCCAAAGGTTTCAATCTCGATTCTACTGGTTCACTCTGACAGGACGTCTATCCCTAGCGTTAATCCGCCTAGGTGAAGTTAAATTATAGATGGTTTTACAGCCGTTATGCAGCACTTAGAAGCTTTCACTTGATTTGAAGTGCACATCGTCTTTGTTTCACTTTTTTCTTCATAACTGACTGTAAATCTTCCTAGATTCTGTCATAAATTAGATCACAATTTCCACCACAATTTACTGCATTGTGATGAATCAAGGCTATCGGGTTACTGTAGTAGCGCGCTTTAGCGTGCACCAGGAAAAAAAAAAGTCTCGATCATATGTATAATCAATCCAACGAGCAATTGAGCTTTCCCCATAAATCATTCATGGGCCTATTATTTGAAAAATTATAGTATAGTGACGTTTTTTCTTCATTGAGGGCGCATTCTACAGTTTTGTCTTGAACAATCCTGGTGAGGTTGAGCCCGCAGACAAGGAGGTAGTGCCACAGAAGAGCGCGGGTGGCAAATCATCAGCAGTTCATGACATATAATCGACAAAGGGACTGTAGAAAGAGATTTCTCATCTTCAGTCTATTAAAAAATTCCTTTTCTTTCCTACTCTCGAAATCCGCGTCATATACATTTGATTTCAAACACAGTGTCCGTACATAGATGCCCGTGAAGTGTGCTCTCATTGTCAATCTTATTTGTCTCGACTTTTCCTTCTTCTTTAGACAACTACAATCCCACCAAGGATTTCGCTTTCTCCGCCGTGAGGACTGACACTTTATCGAGTTTGTCTACGTGGAGGTGCCAATAGGCACGCAAGACGAAATATAGAAACCTATAAAAACCAACTTCGTGAGCGGAACGATTGAAACGGCTAAAACGCGACGTTATGGCGAGATCAACAGCAATGCTTTGATGGTCACCTTGGCATATCCATGTACAGTCGAGTTAGCGACTGTTGCTTGCCGCTAGTTGAACAAGCTCTTCCAAATTACCTACTATACTATGTAGTGAGTGGAACGCTTTTGCGGCGGAGTGCTTTTCAAGTACTACTCTACAACCAGAGCATCCTTCGTCAATAAGCGCATGACTCGTTTACTTGCCAGCCAAGATAGTGCTTCGTGCCGACTACTTCCCTGCGCTCCTCTTTCATACGTAATGGCTTCCTTCGATGTTTATTGTGTTGCGGAAACATTTACCCCACGTATCGAACTTCACTTTTATAAAATTCAGGATATGAAGGATTTTTAGCCTTGATTGTTTCAGTGATTACACATGATAGTCTACAGCTACTGATCCCTGTCATTTATCAATACCAGATTAGTCCCCCGTCAACCGCCGGGACCTTCCTTTCCTGCGCAAGCTTTCTATCCTCCGCTATGGTCCCTTCCTCCTGTGACACCAACACCTGGAAGTGACGCGTATGCAACACAATGGTGTTTCATACAGTAGAAGGGACACAATCATGATATGACGGTAGATTTTTCGCTTCCCTTCCTCATCCTCCCTTCCTCTCTCCACTGCCCTCCAGCTGCCACTGCAGCACCATGTGGAATGAACGGAAGTGTGCTAAGCAGGTGTTTATATAGCCCTAAGAGTGTTATCACAACTATCCTGCTACAAAACATTGATATCTCAAATCCTGTAAGCTACCCGATTTGTTAGCGGTTTGTTTATCCCATGAGCTTCCTTCTCACTCACTTCATTTTGCGGACGGACACACACATACATACACACACACATACACACACACATACAGATACACAAACCGACACACAAAGTTAGCGCTTTATAAAATAGAAGGATATTTTTCAAGATCTCAAAATCGACCATCGACGTGTTGCACGGTTCTCTTCGGGATGAAACGGTTCGTCAATGCAACTGCGATGAAATGTCCGACTGCTACGATTCAGCCAAGCAGCAGGCCTACGACTGCTTTGACCCATGCTTCAAGGAAGTCAAACAGGTAAGAATGGCTTCAAAAAGTTGTTCCTTGATGATACAATTTTGTTGTTCTTCAATGTTTCTACAGTACAAGATTATCTGAGAAATTTTCTTGCGCAGGCTATCAGAACCTGGCCAGTGTGTGAGTAATGAGGTATAAGCTCCGTATATATACTACCAATAAATACCATTGTCAGGGCACAGGGCCGTTGTTGGACTTTGCGATTCGTTTTCGCCCTGCCCTCGCCTTTTTCCCTTCCGTCTCAGGGCCGTGAGAAGTAAGAGAGATCACTGATTGCGATGAAACGGGCTCCCGCTGTCCTCCTCACACTCTTGAATTCGCCGTTGTTGTTTGAACCAGTGGTGCCTCGCTCCAAACGCTGGCGCACCGCCTGTACTCTTCCCCCCCCCCGAGTCGCTGGCGATTCTGACGCAGGTCTTGAAATGGGGGGGGGGGAGAAGCAGTTGGGGCACCTGCTCTCCTGCTTAAAGGCACGAGTCAGGCTTAGTGGACCAAACCAATCCCTTTTGTCGTCTTTGTGCATGGCTACGCACCCACAGAGACGTTACCATGCTCAGAATCCCAAACGGCGCCGTAATAAGGCTCCAGGGCACGTATTAAGCGCTTTCGCCGCCTGGCGGCGCTCCGACCGCCCACCTCCGGAAGTGGTGCGTGGCTGGCATAACGTGTGAAATCAGCTAGGTTGATTGCCGTATCAACCGATAGAACGACTGACATCTCCAGAAAACTTGTTTGTACGTGCCTCTTTCCCCAAGCCAGCCTCCTTCACTGCTAGTGGGAAAGAGGGTTTTGTTAACGGCCTTGTCGACGGTTTTTCTCAGTTTTTTCTCCACTCACTACTCGTAATAACTTCAATCGCCATAATACCTTTTGGAGCCCGACCTTCGTTGCTTCAGCTTGCTCTCGCTACTGCCGAGCATAGCACAGCATTAGGCTTTGGTTGTGTGAACCTACGTTTTTGAAATTCTTAGCGCTTTTAGTCCCGAATTAGAGATCTGCTTTATTGGGTGTGTTTCAGTTCTCACTGACCGATGATCCAGAAAACCTGCGAACCTGCTTTCAAAAACGTCGTGGATTTGTGGACAGCATTGTCAACTGCTTCCGGACAAAGATAAAAGCGTCAGTTGGATATTCCATAAAAACCTACACGTCGCTACACGTTCATTTAATGTTCCAACATACAAAAAAGGCTTCCTCGTGTGTGATATTGGTACCTTCGTGGGTGGGTGAATAAGCGCGTTTAGTTGAACATTGTCTGTCCACGAAGCGAGCCAGCCAGTCCACCTGTGTCACGGTCCTACCATTGGTCCTTTCCGAGTGGCCACCATATTTCAAATTTTTACTCGCGTTAGGTAGCTTGAAATTCTAACTCGACTATTTCTCTTTGTAACGGCTTTTTCCTCCGATAACGAATGCTGTCGTGATCTTAATGAGAGGCTCAACAAGAAGTGAGTGACTAGCCACGTCTAGAAGCATAAGCTCTGCTAAAAAGGAAATTCACATTTTTTAGCGTTTTGCAATGAAGCCGCTGTAAAGACCGCTCTCAGCTTGTCCTTTGGGTCTAGCCTCTACTTGCGTCGTGTTTAGAAACTCCAAATCCAAATCTGGCCCATAAAGGAATGTTCTGCTGTCATGAAATTATATGCGTGTGACAGCTTAGAGTTGGAGTAATTTTCCTCTAGTTTGCGTTTTTCAAACGTATCACGTAACCTCTGCGAGTGATTGAATACTCTTAGGTGAGTCCTTGTGCTAGTTGAGATACGACCGAAAACGGAGCCAAAGTTGTAGTTTTTAGATAGACATTTACCCAATTCCAGCCTTATCCAATGGTGTCGTTTCAGGTGCGAGAATGACGTTGAGAAAGCACGAGAAACTGTCGTGAAGAGTTACGACTATCACGATATGATCAAAAGAGTCGAAGACATCATCAATGAGCAAATCCAGACGTTCCTCAACTCGATCACTTCCAATCGCGTAAAGGTCAATCGCTTCCTAGTGCTTTGAAATAGATCTAACACGAGATTTAGCGCTTGATCATACAAGTAACATAGTTTGGCCGATTCAATGAATCATCTACTACTACATGGTGGCACAAGCGCTAGATCGCCCGTATGGCTAAACGTGCTATCCAAGGAACCTGATTACCCAGACCACTCAAGAGTGTTCATATCTTCCGTGAAAAGCACTTGCGTCTCGCTGGTTCTGAAAGAAAAAGTTCGCAGTAACCCATCAGTGAGAGGCCTAGGTTTGCCCTGCTCCTGCGCTTTCAATATGTGATCGCTTCGATTCTGCCAATCGTTTTGCAGTGCGCCTAGCACAATACCTGCCTTCGCAATAGGTGCCTTGGATAGTACCACGAGTCCAGACATTGCTTCTGTCAGTTGATGCTTCAGAAGATTTGAAAAAATGTTTCAATATTAATTCCCGAGCAAAATTCTTGGAAGAATGACGAAGTTTCTTGGATAGAGTAGGAACTCCATTCCGCTATGAAAACTTACTAAAAAAACGACCAACTTCCATTTTTGAAATGTTTCCACATGTATCGCCCAAATCAAGTGATTTCTTTTGGCTGAAATGGATACGGGACGAGTAACTTTGAATCAGCTTTCGTTTTCCCAGGTTCCAAAGAAGGCGATACGCGAAACGAATCCAACAGAGAGAGAGGTTGTTGTCAATCATGGCTGCAAGCAGATTTACCCCTCTCCTATACTGAGAATGTCTCAATTGCTCAAATATCCAATTTTCTAGAAACAAAGTTGTGGGGCGTCTGGGACTTTTTGGAGATGCATTCATCAAACTAAGTTTGCCATCGTACTATAGAAAGCCTTAGATGGGCTAGCTGATGAAGATAACTTATGGTTAGTCTAACAAGCCTTTCTCATTGAGAAAGAAGTCAGCCCTCTATTGTTTTGATGTTATAGCAGGAATGTATAATTCTTAGCTCAACATCCTTTCTGATTAGCTGGTCACTGAATTTGTTGAGTTAATTTGAGCACCTACATGTTATAGTTAGGTATAAGCTAAATTTTAGGTATTGAACTTTATCGATTTTTTGTATCTCTAGCAGTTTTTCGAATTGGAAATGTTGGTGGAAGAAGCTTCTCTACTTTATCACTTCATGAAAAACTTAATGCTTATTAACACGTTGACGACATTGTGCAGCGCATGCGCATCACACCTTGAGCACCGTGTGGGACCGTGTGCAGCGCATGCGCTGCACACACAAAATATTTATTTTTTTCGCGCATGCGCTACTTCTTTTCTAATTTTTTTGCATCTATTCCATAGACTACACCATAATATGACTAGACACGGCGAGGTTCATTGAATGGTTGAATATGCTCCTTTTTAGCGAAGGTTTTCTAAGCCCTACGAATTTCCCAATTGTGTTCATTCCTAGTTTCCTTTATATTCTGATAATTGGTCATAAAAAAGAGCAGTAGAAGTAAGTACAGACCCACACATATAGCAAGACATATGTTTTTAGTGGAGCAACCGCGTCAAAAATAATTCTGAGGTTCACTGCAGCAAAAGCAACTGAAACTTGCCTTTCATCGCCAGAAAACGTCAATTCGACCGATTTTTTACAGTTGTCCCTTCTGATAAGTTTGACACATCGAATATCGTTCTCAACATCTTGTTGCATCCGAGTTTTGGGTATGTGAAGCTCAAAATTCACGGATTTGATGTGAGGCGGCGGCGCCTACAAAATCGCCGTGGTCCCACGCGGTGCAAAAACCAAAACGCGCGTTGTCGTCAACGTGTTAACCCTTTGGCGACAATGGCACCCACCGGTGGGTGCCACTATGACCGTCGCGTGGGACAATGGCACCCAATGGTGGGTGCCACCCTAAAATTTTCTTCTTACCCATTTAAAACATTTTCAACATATCAGTAATTATAAGCAAGCTCCGTTACGCCTATGTTTAGCATATTTTGCAGAAATGTTTGCTATAGCTAATTTATATGAAATTTTAGGATATGGCCTCTTTGCTATGCGATGTATTAAAGGAATCTTGCGCGGAAAAATCATGATTCTATTTCAGCCATAAATCACTGGCTTGAGACTCATTATCCACGATAATAGTGAAAAGAACTGAAGTATTGCTTTCGTTTTGATTAGAAATTCGAAAACTCGAAAAGGCTGCTACGCGTTCGAATTGCCCACGGACGTCTTTCACGAATGCTGGCGACGGGGATGCTCAAACTTGGTTCTTGGAGTGCATTCACTAGAAGCTCTTTCTGGCCTTCTGCTTCGTTGCATTCACATCTTACACTTCTACTCCATCCTATTCCATCGATCGATTTGTCTCCACTCTCCGAAATCGCGCGCTTTAACCCGCGTAATTTCATCGTTAGATAATGCTCCAGCAGAAACCTCCGAGTTACGGGCCGCAGCAGTGTCGGCAGCATATGCTGCCGACACGCCCACTCGTCCGTGATTGGCTACCACCACAAAGGTTACTGCGTGCAGACACGAGCCAGCCAGTCAGAGACTAGTGGGCGTGTCGGCAGCATATGCTGCCGACACTGCTGCGGCCCGTAACTCGGTGGTTTCTGCTGGAGCATTATCTGAGCATTGCGTCGCCTGGTACGTAGCCGGCCAAACGCCGTCTTCTTTCCATGCCTCGCCTGGCTCTGCCTCCTGGTCCTTCGATGGTCCATAACGTGTAGTTTTTGTACGTTTGTTTCTCTTCAGAAACCGAATCTTCATGCGTGAAACTTTGTGTGCTATTTCCAGTGATCACAACTGACATATTCATGTTAGGAAAGAGTGCAAGAATTTTCCGCGCAAGATTCCTTTTAAGTATGCTTTACAGACCATTAGCTTGAGTTGAAAATGCACGATAGACCTCTTTCTACGTCTTTTTACAATTTAGAACGGTCCCCCACCTCTCCGCCCACCCCCGCCCCTCTACTTTTTTGACCCTACCCTAAAACGTTACTGCAGGTCTTTATGCTTTCTGGCTCATGTATGGTTGGATTGAAGTGTGTTTAGAAAGACATAACGGATTTCAAAGGATGGTGTAACAAGAAGAATCTCTTAGAAGTTCAAATGTTTTATGATAGATTTTTGGTGTAGACCCAAGGAGGAGTTTGAACTATAGCATCAAAAATTCTACTGTACATTTGAACTTCTAGAGTTTTCAAACACCATCCCTTTGAAATCCGAGATTTCTTTCCAAACTTCCACTTCTAATTCCAACAATACATGATCATAAAGCTTAAGACTGCAGTCATATTTTGTTTATTGTCATAGTCAAAATTTTGATAGAAAAACTGCTTTTAGGGACAATTTTGCCCCATTTTGTGCGAGAGTTGGGCGCGCCAAAAAGAGGCGTGGTCCCACGACGCGCGCTACGTGCAAATCCGCATTGTCGTCAAAGGGTTAAAACGCATAACTAGAGCTCAGTCATCACTGTACTGTAGTCACCTTATTTTCTTTGTTTTTGTCCGGGTTTAGACCATTAAGTCGGTGAATTTTTAAACACCAGTCGGAAAGGGGCTCTGGTACGCAGAACTTTTTCAAAGCTCTCCACATTAAGCAATAAGGGGAAAAGTCGAAACATGAGCTAGCCAAATTCACCGATGTTTGGTCTTTGCTTTTTAATATGACATTCTTCTAACTACTCGCTCTCGTATAAACTACGATTTCTTCCATTGCCAGCGATAATAATTGAAATGATTATCAGCTGACAGACACAATGTCTGGGCCTATGTCAAGTGATTATGATTGATTTTCCTAAGAATGGTGCTAGCTGTGATCGATTCCTTCACCAATCTTGATTATGAATCATGTCAAAATCGCTCTCATATGTATATGTCCCTAGAATAGCAGTGACTGTGAACTTCAGAAGACGCAGTAGCGTAACATCCTGCTTCTTCCCCATGTTTTAGAACCATTTGTTGTTTGGTGGGGATCACTGCTCCCGCGGGCTAATCCTTTCCTAGCGGAGACGCGATTCACGTTAATTAGCATGAAGTGTGTCTAACAAAGTGTAAAGATTTTCCTCTGGGTAGATTATAACATAGAAAGTGTGCATATTAATCATTCCTTGGTCAATGAAGACCTCGTCACAGAGGAACAACGTCGGCAGGATATTTGACTGTATAGTTTATTCCGGACACCATCATCTTCGCGGCGATCAGCACTTCGGAAAAACGTGCTCAACATATGCTCCATACGGCTCATTTTCTCCAAATATATACCTACTTCTCTGAGACAGCAGCGGCCCAGTTCACTCCGAATTATCTTCTGGTCGTTAGCTCAACAATGTTTGCATCGTGTGAGCTCTATCTGATGCCCTCTCGGGGAAGGTGTCCTCCATCGTTGACTGACGGGTCCTCCTTCGGAAGAAACGCTTTATTGGTTGACCTTGATCTTGGATCTTATCCTCTTCGGTCGGTGATGCATTTCACACCCAAAACCGCTGAAGCTGATATTCGCCGACATTATGGACAACACTGGGCGCCAATCCTGTGTTTGCTGCTATGGAAATATGTTTGCTACGATCACCATTTACAGTGAGATCTTTGCTAGCCCATAACGCCAGCCTAAGGCTGGGGCCTTTAAGGATGGGAGGGCCTCGAACCTCAACCCGTTCCTCCTCCTTGAGTTTCACAAACACATGGCAAAACATTCAAACACAATATCTCTGAAGCCAGCTCAGAAGCCAGAAGCGATAAAAATATATTATATTATTATACCGAAATCGTTAATACATTCAATGAATTCTTACGAATGCGACACTTTCAGGACTGCACTTCATTTACGGCGAATAACGGATAAAAAGGATACTGGATAAAATGAGTGGATAGGGGCGTTCAACTACAGAGTTTAGGGTGGGCAGTGATCTGAAAACGAAGATTAGATTAAAAAACGCCTGGTAACACCCCGAATTCCATTACAGCCGCATTCTACCCTGAGGAGGAGAAGAGGTGCTCGGGCGAAATTTCGCGAACCGACAGCCAAAGTTGCTCCAGTGCCAGCTGTTGGCTCTTCC